GGGGGGGGGGGGGGGGGGGGGGGTAGAGTTTTGATTAGACGCGAACCGCCGAATATTACTTATTATAATGTAAAATCACAAGGGTAATGCGTATTGCGCACAACGCCTGATGCGCGAAGCGCTTCGGGGAGCTGGACTGCGAAACGGTCAGGAGGCGTACCCCTACCCCCTGCACTGGAAAAAAAAACAAAAAAAAAACAAAAAAAACACACATTGGATCTAGAGACCAGACTCTTAAAAACATCGACAAGAAAAAGTACTCTTGATTCAATCAGATTTAAGCTTAAATCAAGAATCAAGCCTCTTAATTTAAGCGGATTTCGCTTTGATTCAAGCAAAAATCCGATTGAATCAAGAGTATTGTTTCTTGTCAATGTTTTCAAGAGTCTGGACTCTAGATCCAATGTGTTTTTATTTTCGAATGTGGTTATAATCTAAAATCACGGTCACTCTTCAAGTGAACGTCATCAGGCGTACGGAATAATATAACAAAGAGAAACTAAGTCACGTTCTCAAGAGATATTAAAAATTCTCCCAATTACGAGTAATTTTGAGAGCTTTAATTGACCTTAAATATTCCTGCTCAAAATTCAAAAACGGGGAAAAATATTTTAAAGAGGCGCTGAACTTCATTACCAACATTGAGTCTTTTGGACGACCTAAAGGATGAAACTTCAAACCCCTTTTCTCAGTTCGATCTTGATGCGCCTTCGTTGCTGGACGCGATGATGACGGCGCAGAGATACAACTATTCGTGCTCGGTGGATGTCCGTGTTGCGTCCACAAAATTGAAGGCGCGTTGGTGCGAGACGTGCATCCCAAACGCTCCGTTCGATGCTGCCAATCGGGAGTCGCGTCGTTCAGATTCGAGAGAAAAGTTGGTAACCAGCGGGCCGATTATTGAGATTGATAGACAAAGCTATAGACAAAGAAGACTTAGGGAGTATAAAGCAATCCTGTTGGTTGAAATGGGTGGTTCTCATAGACTGAGGGGGAAAATGATAGACTAACTGTCGGGTCTCTCGTGGGTTGCCGTTAGTTAGTCTATTACCTACGTCCTTTGTCCATTGCAACCACCCGCTTCTACCAATAGGATCCCTCCAAATCCTTTTTGTCTTCTTTGTCTATTGCTCTGTCCATCAATTTCAATAATCGGCCCGCAGGCCCGAATACGTCTCTCCTATTTTCAGATGTGTTGACTTTCGGTTTTATCTTTTTTTTTTTTTCAATATCACGTGTGGCTTTTTTGTAGGATGTTTCTTAGAGGTAAAACTTGCACGGAACCTGTTTTAAGCAAGCCGTGAGTCAATTTTACTCATCTTGAGCATCTAAGAGTCGAAACATGTGTTTTTTAAAAAAAATTTTCAAGGATAATTTAGTTTCATTTGTTTAAAACAAAGTATTTAACCAATTTTTCAGCGTGTATAACAGGTTCAAGTGAACCTCATCCAGCCGGGGTAGTTCACCTTCTCTAATTGATTCATCGAGCTTATTTTATTTGTTCACGTTCCTAGTTTTGTATTCAAGTGTCTTTGCTCTTCGTTTAGTATGTTTTAATTTTTTCTTCTAATTTTTTTTTGTTTCTTCAGCCGGATGGAACATACGCAACGCAGAGCCAACTCATGTTCCCGGCAAGTCGCTTCGAGAACGGGGAGACTCTAAGCTGCGAGGCGAGCAATCAGGTCATGAGGGATCGAAACGAACAGCCCATGCGTAGTGCTCTTACGCTCGAAGTCATGTGTAAGTATCCAAAAAAAAAAAGTTAAATTTTAAAAAGGAATTTAATGGAGGTATACGAGTGAGGAAGAGTTTTATTGCATTGCGACATTGCAAGTTTTGTTCGAAAATCGGACGTTCATGAATGAGGTTTTACTATTCGTAGTTCATTTTGAAAAAAACGCATGTGGCATGGGTTTCTTATGCTGGCAGTTTTTTTTGTGCATGAGCCAGAAATAGCAGTCCCGTATTGCCAAATATCGTTCAATTCTTTGTTCTCTCAAGTACAAAAACCTTTTTTCTTCCAAACTTATCTGTGGTTTTCCTCGTAATTTAACGAGAAATTTTTTGAACTTTTTGCTTTAAGATATGCCCGTTAAAGAAGAAACAACTTGTTGGGTAAAACTTAGAAAACTCGCAATCCAGTGCAACTCTTCTGTAGCTCGTCCCTCCAGCTTAAAACAATTAAAATAATTCCAGATTTCTTTTAAATTTTGAAATAAATGGTTTGCTCTCTGTCATGCTTCGTAAAAATAAATTAAAATGAAATAACATTAATGAATTCGTCGGACTTTTAAAAAAATCGTGAATCCGCTGCATAAGAATTGGACTGCATTTTGGACCTATAAGTTCTGGCTCATCTGAAAAAACACTTATGCGCATAGGGAAAGTAAGGGCACATACTTTGTATTTGAACCGGGCTGGAATTTAAAGTTCCTAATTGCGAAATGTAGTCCAATTGGAGGTCTCTTCTCCGTTTGATTTCTATAATTTTGTCCGAGCTTCTCCGAATTTCCTGCAGGCCGATAGTTGGATTACATTTTGAAATTCGGAACTGCAATATCTGGCTCAGTTTAGAAACGAAGTTATCCTTAGTTTTTCTATGAACATGTGTGTTTTTACGGAAGAGGCAGATATTGTAGCTCCTAATTGCAAAATTCATTCCAGTTGAAACTTAAGTCAACTCAAGAGTATATCGCAAATCGACAAAATGTATAGTAAAAATCGGTTGTTGCTTGGCTATTCGCGTCGATATTCGTTCAACAATCTGCTCGCTGAAATTTTTGACCGGACGATTTCGAGAAGCTCGTTGCTCCAGCAGAATCGCCCCAATTACAAAACTTTCCGCCCCGAACAACTGGTATTTTTTACATCGCTAGCATACAAAACACACGGAACTTCCAAATTCGTCGGAACAACGCTGTCGTCCCCGTAAACCGTTGTCCCAATTAACAGAAACTAACTCCGCGCCCAACAAATTGGGTCCGATCAATCGCCCCCTCTCTCCGCTCCCTCCTTCCTGCCAACCCCCTCCTGCCCCGACCATCCCCCGCGAGCACGTAAACGTCGTCTTAATAGTTTTTTAAACTACAAAAACGTCGAGGTGGCGCAGAGGTGCGGGGCAGAATTTATAATTAGTTTTTAAAACTCGCGTGTAAGGAGATCGTTTAATTAGACACGGTAAAGATGTTTTCAACTGAACTCGCTAGCAAAACTTTGCTCCTGGAGCTTGAGTTTTCTTTTCTTGCCACCCCCGCCTCCCCCGCGGCGGGGGTGGAACTTCTCGGGGGAAACTTTTAGTTGAAACTTCCAGCGGGGGGATGGGGGAGGGGCACGAGACCCACTGTCAACCGGGCCCGAAGGGCAACGAGCTGTTAGACCATTCACTCCATTGTATATCCGTCATAATTGCGGCGAATAATTTATGCACGCCTAGATAGGCCCGGCACCTCTTAGACATCCCGGAGGTTAATTTTATTAGCGCGCAGAGCGCAGCACCGTCGCGCCTCCCCAAGTTTGCGTCACTTCGAATGGAGACTCCTGCGTTGGTAGGCAAACTTTACTCCCGAGTTATGAGGTCACTGATCTTGTTCCTATGTCCTGAGCGGGTGAAGCTCATCTGAAATGGGTCAGTTGCACCAGTCACGGAATGGACCTCTTGCATATGTGGGGGATTTCCGATTTAAGGTGATTCGGTGGACGTTTTTTTTTTGTGTCAGAACGACACACGATATAGCATCGATTAGTTCTATTTTCTCAGCTACTTGTCATTTTTTTTGGAATTTTGAGATCGCAATTCTGTTGTCAGGAGACTAAAAAATCCACTTACCAATTTTTACAAACAAATTCAACTTAATAAAGGCGTGGATTTTTTTAGAGGAAAATATCGCATTCGATACTAATATCGAAACTGCACTCGAATGCTATAATTTCCCTCTAAAAAAACCACGCCTTTATTAAGTTGAATTTGTTTGTCAAAATTGGTAATTGAATTCTTTAGTCTCCTGACAACAGAATTGCGATCTCAAAATTTTAAAAAAATGACAAGTATAGCTGAGAAAATGGAACTAATCGTTACGATATATCGCGTGTCGTCCTGACACAAAAATTAGCGTCCGTAGAACCACCTTAAGTACTTCGTCTTGCGTAAAATTTCTCGAAAAAGACGATGGTGCCACTGATTTTCTATGAAACGAACTCCAAAGCTCAAAAAAAGCTCCCAAAGTCGAGGCTGTGATGGAGGGGATATTCCACGCTATCCTGAGAGTCCACCTTTGTATCTAATCAAACTCTCCATGCAAAGATAGGTGGCAAATACATTAGCAGGGTTGTCGTGTTTTAAGTTTTTAAGACCCCACACAAAGTGTAATGTAAATGTAATGTAATGTAATGTTGTTAATGCTGTTAATGTATTTGCTCCCTGTCTTCTCCGTATCTTCATCGAGGTTTTAAATAGATATAGAGGTAAACTCTCAGTATAGCTGGGTGGCCTCAAGTTCGAGAGCTTTTTTTCAGTTTTGGAGTTTGTCACAGAAAAAACCAGTGGCATCATTGTTTTCCTCGTGAGATGGTAGAACTGCGGAAAGAAAAGAATACACAAAAGTCTCATCAGTCTGAATGCATCAATCATCAGTTGGCCCATTGGTTAGTATGTAAATATCTGTTGAATGGTGCAACTTTTGTGACATTTATCTATTCTTCTCTTCCCACCGTTCTACTTAGGCATTAGTAGATTTAATCCAAATGCCTCGATTCAGATATTTTTTGAAAGCATTATCATATCAGATATACCACTATTCGTGCACTCGGGAGCGCGTTTTGCCTACTTCGTAAATTGAAGGCGATTCTTCGGAAGAATGCATGTATATGAAAACATTTCTTTTTTTCAGATCCTCCAATCGTGAATGTGACCCCGGAGAGCATCAAAGTTAACGAGAGCACGGACATCTTGCTCTTTTGCCTGTACGAAGCGAATCCAGCCACGCTCAAAACCGTCCGATGGTAAGTTTTCTCTTTCCCATAATTTTAGCTGTTTAGTGTAAATTGCAAAAGGCTACTATTCTTTTGCGGAGAACTTCGACATTCAAATAGACTACTACACTGACTACTACTACATAGACTACTACTCTGGACTACTAGATAGGATGCTAATTTAAGCATCATTATGTGTTTTCTGGTAAAAATTTAATGTCGAACACGATTCGTACCTCAAAAATTACCGGAAGTAATTCCTAACCGACATTTTAATGAATTTTGATGCATTAATTCAAACTTCCAGCTCATAGAAAAAAACAACTATCTCCTTGCGTTAAAGCGCACACTAGAAGTTACAGTGAAAGTTTCTGCGGTGCAAATTATGACAAGCTCCTTTTAAACGCTTCGACTCAGCTGTAACAATCTGTTTACACGTGGAACAATGCAGGCTGGAGAAGAAACACTGCTTATTGAGAAGCCTGCCAAAATCGTTATACTGCGCATTTGATGCGTGACTTTCACATTTTTTATAAAAAATACTAAATGAAAACAATATTATCTTGGTTTTGAGTTAACATTGGTTCTTTTCGTTGCGCAAATTTTGTTCTACGTGAGATTTAAAGGGAAGACACATATCAGAATGCTTAAATGCGCGCCTTGTCTTGTAGTTCATTGCAGTGGCGAGGCGTGAATGATCGATTATCGATATTTCCCCATTTAAAGCTATGGTAAAGAATCGATTATTATGGTGCTTGTTCCAAACACCCTGTTTATCGATCCTTTTTTATAGGTTTAAATGGCAGATCAATCGATGTATCGCAAAGCACGCCACGCCACTGGTCCGTTGCGGAAACAGATACCATCATCTAAATGAAAACAACCAAGAAAGCTCATTATCATTGATTCATGCATGTTACTCGCGTTGAGAAAGCTTTTTATTTTTCACCCTTTCACGATAACCTTATCAATAATTTAGAAGTTCCTCGAAAATTCTCAGCCCGTTCGAATAAATAAAGAGCCGTGTCTAAATTTTCTCGGGCTTTGCTGCGGAGCTTTTACGCGCCGTAGGAATCGGGGACTTAAGCGTGTAATCTTTTGCGGCAAAAAACACGTTGTCCACTCTCGAGCTCAGAGAAAGCTTTTAAACCTGAGCCATGACATGACATGACGGGTGTGCTCCCTACATAATCTACTTTTTCTGGAACTTTTTTCTGATTGGTTGAAATGTTGAGCGATTTTTTCGTGACGTGTCCTGACGCGCAACGTTTCAACCGCAGATATTCGAGCGTCTTTTCTGACAACCAGTACGGTGATAGGGAATATTTTTAAAGCGGGTTGATAGTCGAAACTCGATCGGTAGCTAATCGGACGATCGTAATCAATAATCAAATATCTAGAATTGCGAAATAGCGTTTTATGGATCGAGATGAGTAATGATTATAGAGACAGAACCTTTTCGTTATCGAACCCTGTTTTCCTCTAACTGCTATTTTTATTTATATTTTGCATTTTAGTTTTCCGATTTAAATCGGTAATATTTTATCGAGGAATGCTTTTGAAAACAATTTTTCTAAATTTTGCAATAAGAAACTGCTATTTCTGGCTCATGCATAAAAAGACTTATCTACATGAGGAAACTAATGAAGCTCATGTTATTTTGAAAATGAGTCATAAATAGTGGTTCTTAATCGCAAAATGTAGGCTATAAGTGGGGATTTTGGGACAACAGCGTATAATCGCGTTTAAAATCAGGCGTTTTATCACTGCTCAGAATCTTTAAATAAGGTTTACCCGTATACTCATGTAGACATTTGCCGTAACATATTTTTGGGGGTATCGCTGCTATGGGTTGTGAGAGGTGTAAGGAGTGATTTTCCTTTTTTTTACCTCAAGTATCCCTGAGGGGGTAATCTCACACTCACAGTTAGTGTCCTACCTCCCCTCAGGGTCCCTAATCAAGAATCAGCCCCGGGCATTCCTTGTTTGAAACCAGGAAATTCGGGTTGCCTGGCCGGGATTCGAACCGAAGACCTCCTAATCAAAGAGCCAGAGCTAAAACCACTACACCACAGGAGACCGAATTCAAAGTATGAAAGCATTCATCGTGTTTTTTGAGTGATGTTACTCAAACATTCATGAAAAGTATTCTTGTGACTCTAGCGACACTTCGCGAAAACCTCATTAACATTGATCAAATAATGATGATTGAAATAGTTATCAGGGTAGTGGAATCGGAGTGGCCTCACTCAACGCTTGCGCAGAGTCACGAAGGAATGACCGCGGCGCGAAGGAAAAAGGGGGAAAAAATGAAGTGGAGAAGTAAGTGAAAAGCGCTTACTGCGCCAGTAACGACAGGTTAAATGCACGTGCTGCAGTAAGATCCGTTTTCATTATTTCAATAAGCCTTCGCCTTGCCCACGGCTCTAGTTTGGACCCATAATTAAGTTTCAAATGCCGTCGTTTAAGTAATTTTTTCGCTCTCACTACACTTCACTACCTTCACTCCTTTCTCTCTCGCCGTCCTCTCTCTCACAGTGTTGCCAATGCACTCACGAAAAAAAACCTCTCCGTAAATTTCATACTCAATCGGCATTATCTGTCCGAGGGATTTGTTTCAGGAGGGAATTTGTAGGTGTTAGCAAGGTGACACATTTCATCTCTTCGTAAGAGATCCGGTGTTTCACAGAGCCCCTTTGTACTGAGAGCTAAGACGTAAGTAATCGATTCCTGATTGGCTCTCGGTTTCTTGGTCTCCACAGCGTCTTACAACCGCCTGTGTCACACTATCAAAACACTCCATCAAAAAGGCAAGGTAAAGTGCTGCGATTGGTCCAAGTCATCGAATAAGCCAATCACAGCACCTGACCTTAATTGATGGCTAGCTTTGATAGTATGACACAGGCCAACGAAATGATTATTGCATTTTTACCAATTGCAAAGATTATGAACTGGAACAGACCGTAATTAGGGGTACGTTAGGAAACAAACGGAATGAAAGAGGGAATGGGAGAAAGGAATACAGAAATAGGTTGAATGAAAATTACAAAGAACGATTCAACTGTGTAACCCTTATTCCACGTTTGTGATATCCACGAGCCAATTGGACTGCATTTTTCCATTCGGAACCGTAAATTCTGGCTTTTCTGGAAAAACACTTATGTTCATAGGGAAACTAATGACACATACGTCGTTTTTAAACCGGGCTAGAATTTATAGTTCCAAATTGCAAAATGTAGTCCAATTTGTCTTAACTCGTCTGCCCGAGAGACTCTAGTGTATTGATATATTTAGGGGCATTTTTTATAAATATTAGATTCAGCACTCTTATGATCGAGTTAATGTATTTTGCAGTAGAATCGGATGTTTAGAAAATTGTCATCGATGATTTTCTCAGTCAAAATCAGTAGATACCTTTTTTTCAACCAGGAAAACCCCACAGGATCGAGATTTGAGCATGACGTGACGACGTTTTTACGAGCTTACGGAAAATAAAATGTTTTGGGTGCACTAATCGGCAATTACGCTCTTTGGTTTAATTATTAGAGTCTTTTGCGATTCCCTCGGCGACAGTTTTTCAGCATTTCAGAGACAGCATCAAAGGCGGTATCGCGATGAGTGCTGCCAATTTTCCATTTTAATTAACGCTTTTATACTTGCGGTCTGTATTGAAATTCTTAGTCAGTTTAATAAAATTGCCAGCCCCACTTTTAGTCGGTAAGGCGTTTTTACGCTTCTCGCTCACTCGAACAAATAAAATCGCACCCATGGCAAACAAGGAATTTCTTTTTTGTTTGTCAAGGTTTAGCGTTGCATCTGTGGAAACACCTGGTTTTTCTCCTCTCTTTTTTTGTCTCTTTGACTTTAAGAGTTGGCTATTTTTATTTAATGTTTTGATCTGATGATCGATCAAACAATTAATAGTTTCTTGATTTTAGAGCATGTTTGCAAAAAATCGTAATTTAGTGATATTAGATTTTAATGAAACGATCTTGATGCTATCTCTTTTTATTGTGGCATTTAAAGCGATGCTCTGGAAACTTAATTTCTTTAGTTTTACATTATAATTATAATTATTTCCTGCTCATTCATGAAAACTGGTGTTTTCAAAATTTCACTGCCAGACTTTTGAAGTCGAAAAATGCGTATCCGAATCTCAACCTTTCAAAAGCTCTGATTTTTTAATTTTTTAAATAATAATCTAATCAAAATATCTCTTTAGTATTCTCCTTGAGTACTTTAAAATCATCGGATAAATGTGCCGAAAATTTCAAGCAAAACTGTTGGATGGTCCTACATGTTTATTTATTTATTTATTTTTAAAAAGAGTAAAGTTTGAGGCTAGATTTGCAACATCATAATCAAAGATACTCACCATCAAAATTTAGCCATCGATCTACAGGGTATACTACCCCCTTTCATATCACAGCCGAAGAGCTCTAAAACAACAAGAAGAGTAATGGAGTTCGCTTCCGAGATGACATTTTCGTCTCAGCTTTAATTTTTGTTCTCAACAATGAACCAGAGGTACATAATTCCCCGGAAATGCATCGCAGATGATTGATGGATGGAGTGTCGATTGCCGAAAGACTTATTAAGTTCCAACGGTAAACTTCAAGAACCGAAGAGGTGGAGGGGTGGGAGCGTAAATTTAAGGAGAGGAGAGAAAGAAGAATGTAATTTCGTTTGAAGACTTAAATCTTATTTGCTAAACTTGTCTCCCAACCCCTCCTATCCGCCCGCGCAACATCATCCAACGCTACAATTTTAGATTGAAAATCGGAGAAAACAGGAAACAGTTTTGCACACTGTCGTCGCAAACCCCTCCGTTCACTTCTCCTCGGTTGAAAATCACTCTTATAATTACTTTCTCAAGTTTTTGTGTATATTGATTTTATAATTTAGCGCGGCAGATTGTTTTAATATCGGCGGGGAGCGAATTGAAGGTCGCCCCCCGAGCCCAGACACGGGGGTCGGTGATTTTTGTGCTAACGATTCCGCCGGAACGTACTTTTGAATGCCCCTAACCC